ATTTTTTTTGGTTTTGTTTATTTATTGCAAATTCTCTGTTTCTTAGAGATCATACAATCTTTTAATTTAAGCAGCTAGTTAAACAACTAGATTTCTACCATGACAAACTCACTGCCACAATGCTACTTCGTTCTGAATGGTTTTCATTGGTTCTCAGTGTTGCTATGTGGTTGCTAGTGTGTTTTTGCTGGTTGCTTGCTGTCCCAAGTCTAAAAAGTCAACCTCTAAATCTATAGATATTCTGCTACAATTTTAGAAACAAACTTACTTAAAGGGATAGTTCACTCAAAAAATGCAAACTCATCATTTACTCACCCTCATGTCATTCCAAAACTGACTGACTTCCTTTCTCCTGTGGAACATGAAAGAACATATTTTGAAAAATGTCTAAAAATGTTTTTTTTTGGTATAGTGATAGTCGGTGGCGTCCACACTGTAAGAACAAGAACTGTAGAACATGGAAAAATTGATTTTTCGCTTAAGTTTACAGACATTTCCTTTCACCCATAAACACAAAACAATACAACACACAATTAAAAATATTCAAAATACAGGTAAAACACCTGTGAAAAATCAGAACAGAAATTCGTATTAGCACAGTACACTGGACGCTGTTTTCAGAGCAGTGTTATTCAGTTTAGTCATGCATATCGTTCCTCCGAGAAGAGCGGGAAATATAAGTGACGTTCAGCTGTCAAAGATCAGGCGTGGGTTTCGTCAGGCTTTCTCTCGTTTACAGCGCTGGGATCTGAATTACTGAATAGAGGTGGAGATGTTTGCTGCTGGAGTCACTCTGGAGCTGCAGAAAGACGCCATTGTTTCAACCTGACACTGCCGGCAAAGTTGCTGCATAAAGGCATATTTTGACACAAAACAGCACAAGTTCAGTAGTGTTTGTTGTGTCTTGTGTTAATTATTCAACAGGCAAAACTAATCAGTTATTCACCCCTTTTAGGCACAACCAGCTGCATTCTTTATTGGTCCGGTCAATTTAATAGATTAGATTAGAAGTAGCTTGAGCTGATCAAATAGTGTTCAAGGTTGAGGATTCATTCACAGCCGTTAAGTGCTCACACATAATTATAACAATTTATAATAGTATAAATGATATAATACCTATAGTAAAACTACTGCTATCACCACCACCACTACTACTACTACTAATTATTATAATAAATAAATACAGTCTGTAGTCTAGGGCTTGTCCTGTTTGTCCTGAAACACTTGTTAACTGAGTGTGAGTGTAGAGGTCATTTTGTTTGCATGGCTCATGTGGAGGAGGAACTTGAGCACTCTTAAGAGATGAATAACTGAGCTATGAATAGAATGGGAGTCTATTTAGGAAAATTACAGTAATTATTACTGATTTGATGAAGAAACAGTGATTACAGGATTCTTGGAAGTTACATGTGAGATAAAATGATTCAGGTTATTGTCTTTAGTGTTTTAATCATGACTACTACCACAAATTATTATTATTATTGTTGTTGTTGTTGTTAAGTAATATCATAAAATGCATTCTTAAAAATAAATATTGTATTTCAATGAATTATTAGTGAATTATGCTTATAAGGGTGAAAGGGTGAAGAGTTGGAACATTTTTAGACATTTAACCTTTTGCTGGCCGTTTGTAATTTTTAGATGTACTAAATGAATAAATAAATAAATGCATACATACATAAATATATATTATTTATGTGGTTCAGTGTGTCGTTTTATTTCACAAGGGGGGAAAAAAACCCCAGCAACAATTTACATTACAGCACCAATAGAGAAAATAACCAAAAGAGAAAATGAACAAAATATATATCTCGTAAAGTATCTTCCCTAAAGAAAATAAAGTCTACTTTTACAAAATGTAATATATTTTTAAGTGCAATTTTTTTTGCTTTTTCTGAGAATAATAAGTGGATCTTAGATAAAAAAAAAAAAAAAAAAGTTTTTATATATATATATATAATAATTGTGTGGTTCAGTGTCTATTTTATTTCACAAATATAATGGAACAACCACAGAAAAAAACAAAAAACAGCAACAGTAGATTTGTAGTTCTAGATTAGTTAATTAAAAAGGAATTCAATAGTTCTTAAGCTCTTAAATGTGTTACAATCTACTTCCTCATCATGTGTGATTATTTCCTGTCTGTGATTCTGACTCTCTCTCTCTCTCTCTCTCTCTCAACCTGACAGAACTGGAGAGGCTCTGCAAGGAGGAATGGCAGAGGATCCTCAAATCCAGGTGTGAAAAACTTGTTGGATCTTTCCCAAAAAGACTCATGGCTTTATTAGATCAAAAGGGTGCTTCTACTAAATACTGAGCAAAGGGTCTGAATACTTAGGACCATGTGATATTTCAGTTTTTCTTTTTTAATAAATCTGCAAAAATGTCAACAATTCTGTGTTTTTCTGTCAATATGGGGTGCTGTGTGTACATTAATGAGGAAAAAAAATGAACTTAAATGATTTTAGCAAATGGCTGCAATATAAAAAAGAGTGAAAAATTTAAGGGGGTCTGAATACTTTCCGTACCCACTGTATTTAAACTTTATGTAAGTTAATTGTTATTTTATATTAGGCACAGCCTGCCCTATAGCATGGTGTATTTTTATTCGTTTTGTTAAAAGTTCTATGTTTTATATATAGGCTTAAGTGAGTTTGACGTTGTATTTTGTTGTTGCATTCAAGCAATTGACGCCGAATTACCGCTAATTCGAAAGTGAAAGTAAAATGCGCACGCCGCTTTAAAGCAATTTAAAAGCGAAGGAAAGTGAGGAAAAGAGGGAAAATTCAAACGACCTAAAAACGAACAATTGCTTTACGCCGAATTGCCGCTATTTGAAAGTGAAAGTAAAATGCACGCACGCTGCTTTTACAAGCTATTTAAAAGCAAAGGAAAGTGAGGAAAAGAGGGAACGCCGCCGCCCCCGCGGTGATACCGGTATTACCGGTGTTGTCACACGTCGATTAACCGGTGTGAAAATTTCCTCACCGTCACAACCTTACTTTTCATAAAAAGTAAGTAACGCAATTAGTTACTTTTTTTATGGAATAATGCAATATTGTAATGCATTACTTTTAAAAGTAACTTTCCCCAACACTGACTACAAGTTTCAAGAACTACAGTGACTCAAGTGACAAAGTGTGTTTAAATTAGCAGTGAACTTGGTGAGACTTTGTCTCTTTCTGTCTTCTCACACGATCAGAGCTGTGGCTGGTGTCAGTATTGCAGAATGCAGCGTGAACCAGCTGTCAACACCTGATCTAATATCTGTCTGACTGCTGTCTGCAGAGGAATAGTGAATAGTCTTCATTTACTCACTCTCAGGTCGTAGGCAGAACGTGCAAGCTGCTCTTTTCCACACAGTGACAGTGAATGGGACGAAAAAGTCTTCTGAAGCCATATGATGCACTACAGAATATGATACACGTCAGTGAGGCAGTAATGTGTGTGTTCTTGTGTTTCTAGATCCCTGTGTCAGCGAACCTCTTAGACATGTATAGTAACCCGGGCATGCCGCCTCCAGGAATCTCTAATAGTAACTCGTGCCCTGCTAACCTGCCCAACATTAAAAGGGAATTCTCTGGTAAGAGTCATGAATTAGTTAATGTCGTTCTGTAGCGTCTAAGACCCTCCAGGCCTTTTGACGATGTACTTAATTGTGTTTCACCTTTTTAAAGTCTGTAGAAATGTCATGTGAATGATGATATGAGTGAAAACATATGCTCATATGCTACATAGTTACTCAATCTCCAGCCATGATGCACTTGATGGACAAGCCCAGCTCCTGTAGCACGTTTGAGAGCTATCAAAGGCCTGAAGGGTTTCCTGTGGGTACGTTCAAAGATTTCTCTCCATGTCTGCATGTCTGTTAACAAAACATAAAGATAGTAATAATTTTATGGATTACAATTGTTTTATGGATTAGATTTACCCATACTGGCACATTGGGTGTGCAAAAAGTGTATATATAAACTTTTACACACACTTCTGCGTAACATGATCCTTCAGAAATCATTCTATTATGCTGATTTGCCGCTCAAGAAACATTTCTGATTATTATAAATGTTTCTGATTATTATCAATGTTGATTTTTCTTGCAATTCTGAGTTTATATCTCACAGTTCTTACTTTTTTCTCACAGTTCTAAGAAAAAAAATGCAGAATTTCTAGAAACAAACTCAGAGTTGTGAGATGTAAATTAGGAATTGCGAGAAAAAAAGTTCATAGTTTATAACTTTGAATTCTGACTTTTTTCTCGAAATTGTGAGATATAAACTCGCAATTGCGAGTTATACATTCTGAGGGAAAAAAGTCAGCTCACAATTGCAACTTCATAACACGGGTTGTTAGGCTCTTTGTACAGAGAGTTATCTTTATTGAGGACTCCACTCGCTAGAGCTCTGCTAGGACAGCATCTGTGAGCCTCCTGACAAGATGTCCTGAGTGTGGGGCGTAGTTAGGCCTCCTCTCGTTTTAGAGAGTCGTTTGCTGAGGCCTCTGCTTCTAGAGCTTGGCCATTCACTGCGAGCGTCATCAGGCCTCCTCTCGCTACAGAGAGTTATCTTCATTGAGGCCTCCACTTCTAGAGCTCGACTAGGCGCCTCTCATTTAAGAGGTGTTGTATATAGGCCTCCACTCTGCAGAGCTTCATGGGCCAGTAAGCTCTGAGTGTTAATCTCCTTGGATGCTGAATAAGAACATAGTTAGGCTCCTGTTGAGGCCTCTGTTCTTGAGAAGCTCTGGTCTATGATCGCATTGCTGGTGTAGGGGTGAGGACTTCTTTGAGTCTTTGACTTAGCTCAGCCAATAAAGCACTCATCTCTTAAGCATGACGCCATTGGTATACCAATGTAGCGCCCTCTAGGGGACGCAGTGCGAGTTCCCATTCGAAAGGGAACGTCTCAGGTTACGCATGAAACCATGGGTCCCTGAGAAGGGGAATGAGACGCTGCATCCCTTTGCCATGCTTTAGGAATTCCTGCACGTCTCCATCAGACAAGAAGTGGATGACGTATTTCACAGGTGCACTTTTATGCTCTCGGCTGCACCAGCTGTGACGTCATAGCCAGCCAATGTCAAATTCATTTTTGTGTTTAGACTCCAGTCATGGCGGAGGCATTCCCCATAGCACCCTCTAGGGGACGCAGCATCTCGTTCCCCTTCTCAGGGAACCATGGTTACATGCGTAACCTGACACTTTGTGTCACGCAATTCTGACTTTATAACTCACAATTGCAAGTTATAAAGTCAATACTATGTTTATATACTGTAATATTGTATGTATAATTGTTATATAAAATAGTTTTCAAGTTCAATCATGTTCGGAATTAAATACTGTGTAGTGTACACTACATGCTGGCTACTATTTTTTTTATTTTTATAAAGTAGTATGTGAAACCGTAGGTATTATTCCACAATAAACATTTAATTTTTACATTGTCATGCGACCTTGTAAAGTTGTAAGTGTCAAACATCATCTTGGAAATAATACTGTTATTTTGAATTTTTAGTTTGATTTTATAAAAAAAATGGGCTAAAATGGGGCAAAAAGTCTAGCACATTGCATTGTGGGATACAGTTTTTATATATAGTGTGCTGTATTGTATACAGCACATTCTAGCAAATGTCTGAGTATTTTATGCATACAGAAAATGTGCAGACTGTACAGTGAGTACTACATACTATAGTAAAAAGGCATTTTGGTGAGAGAAAATATACTATAAAGGACATCTGCAGTGACATTTCAAGGGTGCCAAAACATCTGGCAGATAAACATCCTGCTTTCAGTTTCTCTTCTCATCCTGCTTTATCTTTTTTAGAGGCAGAAGTTCGCGCTTTCGCAAAGGAAAGGCAAAAAAAGGACAACCATAACTTAAGTGAGTTTGCTTTTTATGTTGGGCAGCATCCTAAAGCACCGTTCAAGTTTTACAACACAAAACCATTTTCATTCTTCCCTCAGTTTGTAACAATGACATAATTAAGTTATTGTCTTTGTCCCATAGACTTTGCTTGTAAGTGGATTACTGTAAATGTGATTTGGTTTGAGTTGATAAATTCGACTGTGTAATATAACACGCATTTTCCATCTGTTTCAGTTGAGAGGCGACGAAGATTCAACATTAACGATCGAATCAAAGAACTGGGGACTCTGATTCCTAAATCAAATGACCCGTAAGCACCGCAGTGTTCGGTAGAAACACACTTACACATGAAGTAGATGAATGCATGCTATTATCACAGCAGAGGCTAGTGCTGTTGATAGACTAGAGGGTCTATCAGATGTGCTGGTGTCAGCTGCTTGTGTGTGTTGCTCAGGGACATGCGCTGGAACAAGGGCACTATTCTGAAGGCCTCTGTGGATTACATCAGGAGACTTCAGAGAGAGCAGCAGCGTGCCAAAGAGGTGGAGAACCGTCAGAAGAAGCTGGAACACGCCAACCGCCACCTGATGCTCAGGATACAGGTCAGTTCAGACAGAGCCCAGATCCCTGGACAACAGCACTGTCAATACGTAACTATAAAATACAACTATAACATGCAGTGCAGTGGCATACAGGACTAGTACACTGACCAAAATGACCCTTGGTCTGTGAACTTTAGCAGACATATTATGGAAAATAATACACTTCAACTCGCTGGGCCATGCGACAAAAGTAATCTCATTCCAATGAAGCTACAATTTTCTAAATTTCAAAATGTTAATTTTTTTTGGTCAAAAGTGACCGAAGAGGCCCTGGTTAAAAGAATAGACTTAAAGGGACAGTTCACACACACACACACACACAAAAAAAAATTCTGTCATCATTTACTCAACCTCAAGTTGTTCCAGACTTGTATGAGTTTCTTTCATCTGTTGAACACAAAAAGATATTTTGAAAAATGTTTGTAACCAAACAGTTGAGCCAGTGACTTACATAGTTCCCCCCCCCCCCATACTATAGAAGTCAATGGGTACCGTCAACTGTTTGGTTACCAACAGTCTTCTTTTGTGTTCAACAGAAGAAAGAAACTCAGTGTACTTAAGTGTATTAAGAAACACTTAAGTGGCCTTTTATTTCATTAATATTAAATTATCTACAATAATTTTACTTTACTAAATGCTATAGTAAAGAAAAGTTCAAACAAGAATTATGTTAAAAATTATGTTAAAAACATTTAAAGTCACCTTTAATTAAAATTCTTATTATATTATGGAATGTCGCATTGTTTATTATAAATTATTTATCCTTTCACTTCATTATTGAAAAAGGCACAAGGGTTATAATCCGCTATTTTTAATAGCCATCAATATTAGACATTTTTTGTAATGACCTTCAACCTAAAACATATTCTTTCAATTATGTGTGACACCAAAGCTTAGTAAAACTGCATGAATTTACTACAGTTATTGTTTAAATAAGTATATGAAACTCATTGTGATGAGGTTGAAATAATGTAGTGCTTTAAGTAAGAAACACTAAATAACTTGTTGTCTAACCACATATTTAGGACTGAGAGTCACTGGTTAAGATTCAGCCACTGAAAATCCCATATTTGTTTGTAATAGAAATACCCAGCATCCGTTTGTTTTATATTTTAATGTTTATATTATTAATATACAGATTAAATGTTACATTTTAAATATTGAATCATTTTATGAATTTATATTTAAAAATATTTTCTAGATTTTAATTCTAGATTTTGATCTTAATACATCCAGAGAAGGTTAATTAAGTTAGTTACAGTTTATGTTTCAGTTAATGCTTTGTCTATCCGTTGCTCAATGCTAATCCAGGAGCTGGAAATCCATGCTCGTGCTCACGGACTGGCCGTCGTCTCGTCTACACTCTGTTCATCAGAGCTAGCAGCCCGGCCCATCAAACAGGAGCAGGCCCTGGGCGACTGCTCCCGGGATATGTACCCTCACATGCACCCGTGCTGCCCCGACATGGGCCGCTCCAGCACCCTAGATCTTAACGACGGCACAATCACCTTTAACGACTCTAGCACTTCCACTGATGCGGGGACTTATGGTCTTGTCCCAAAGGCACATGGCACTAAACTCGACGACATCATGATGGACGACACATTGTCATCTGTAGCAACGAGCGACCCACTCCTCACCTCTGGAGCCTCGAGCGAAAGCAGCTGTAAGGACAGTGTGAACATGGAGGAGAACGAGCATGTTTGTTAGTGCAGCGGAACCGCTAGTCGTTGTTGCATTTTTCCGGTAACACAATTGACTGCTAAGGAGAAAGCACGGCCTGTTTTGTCAAGTGCAAAATAATATTATTTTTGTTTACACTCATTTTATTTTATTGTATTTTAACCTTATTCCAGTTTGGTCTAGCCAAATTTCATTGTGTTATAATAATATCAAAATAATCAAGGTCAGTATCATAAAACGACTGATTTGTGTAACTTCACATAGGTGTATTAGAATATAATCAACTTTGGGATAATATAAAAGTGCACTTGAAAGGTGATTTCTTTGGATGTACAGTAGTGTGTTTGCGCGCAGTTTAGAAGAATATTTCTCTTTTTTTATATATCCTTGTAAAGGAATGATTTAAGCAAAATGCTTCCCATTTAATGTGTAGATATTAAGCGACAGACATTTGATATTTCAAGGGATAGTTCACCCAAAAGTGAAAATCTGTTAATTTACTCATCCTCAAGCCATCGAAGATGTAGGTGACTTTTTTATCAGTAAAACAGTAAAGTTTTTAGCTGAAACTGTGGTCCTTGGAGATTCATAAAATGCAAGTCAGTGGCTACCGTCACTTTGAGAGTCGAAAAAGCATATACAGGCAACACAAAATGAATACCCGTTAAGGCTGTCAAAATGACTGAAAAACGAAATTCTAATTTAAAATGCATAATTTCAGTTAGGGTGAAGAAAAGTTTTTGGCTTCTCTTCTGAGGCCACAAGAGGGCGCTTCGAGCTAAATATTACTAATGCACGTTTATTAAAAGCATAAGATAACACGACTATCTGTGAAAAAAGTGCATAATGTTTAAAATAATGTTTATAAACCAATTATAATTAATTAAGTTGCTTAAACAACTATAAACAAAAAAAGCATCATGTATGTATGCATAGTTTAATACAAAGGGCGGAAAGCCAATCACACAGAGTACATTTTTCATTTATAAACATGAGATGCAGTGGGATGGGGAAAAAACCCGCCATAAAGTCTCGAGATATGTTTTTTCAAAGTTGAACTTGCATTAATTTTACATGGCTTTCTAAACATGCTGCTATTTTGTGCGAGATGCGAGTGCAATGCTGATAGATGTCCCTCTAGAAAATGTGTTGAAATATGTGTTCTTTGTGAATGGCTTGTTTCAGTTTTGATGTAAACAAGATCTTCTCCGCATTGATGTTCTCTTTTTCCGCAATATTTTGAATGAACAACGCAGCAGCGCTGCATCTAGTGGCTTCAACTGGACAGGCTAACAAAAGCATTATATTGCAACGACACTTACATCGTCATCGCATCTCGTGCGCCACTGATAAGGCTGCCTGACGCACACCTAAAATTCAAATGCAATGTTTTTGCATTCGAATGTGGATTTTTATTTTAAATTTGATGAATATTCAAAAAAAAATTTTTGATAGCCCTAATACCCATAGCTCCTGACAATATATTGAGGTCTTATGAAGCAAAATGATCGGTCTGTGCAAGAAACTGAACATTATTTACAACATTTAATTTATAGCCTCAGGCAAATGGTTCGGAGGGATGTCCAATTCGCAAACTAATCATTCTTTTGAACTGATTCTCTTTAATTGGACTGGACCGTCTGAAACCGTTTGTGGCACCACAGATCTACAAGTTTCTGAATCAGAACTCACTTTCAGATGTCAGACAGTCACTCCGAATTGAAATGAGCCAAAATACCAGTGAATATGATCCTATAATGAATGAACTCATTGAGTTCCTCCAACAGTCACTGAACTAAGGAAACATTTAGACTCGGACTGGTGACTGATGAGCCGCTGATATGCGCATGCATGAAACGAATGACTGAATGAAGGGGTGAAATGAAAGTTGTTAAGGTTTCTCATGGTTTATGTAAAAAGGTGAGGGAAGTAGATGAAAATTTCATTTTTGGGTGAATAGTCCTTTAGCATAGCTACATTAATCGTAACTAATTCATAAATGTTGTGAAAATTTCTGTTGAATGTCGTTCTAATATCACTGAATGTTTAAGGAAACTTTTGAGCAAATGCTCTAAAAATGGCATCTTCCAGATGAAAACGCACACAACCAGTAGATTGACAAAGTATGTTTGCTTTGAGGCTGATCTGAAATTATTTCATTCAGTTATTAATCAATGGCAGTAGTTGCTCAGTATTAATGTTTCTGGTCCAGGAGAATTCCGCGTAGCTCAGTGGATTTGTGGAATAATCTTTAGACACAGAGGCTGAAGAAATGCACGTGTGGAAGGACAAGTTTGCATGCAGCATTTGAAATATCCAACTGATTTTCAGATGTCCTGTGGAATGTGCCAAGCAATAAGCAATATTCAGCTTTAACTCTGCAGAAAACCTTCAAATACGGTTCTAGTGGTTTTATGCAGTGCCTTTATAATTATGCTAATATATTTCACCTCATGCATTTCTTAAGATTCCCTGAGGATGCATTTTAAAAACAGTGCATCTCACAGTGCATAGCTTGAAATAATCCATAAGAATGTGAAATAATTTTTTAACACGTTTGATGACTAAATGAATAGTCATGATAATTCAAACTTCAAATTCCAATTTATTGCCCTTAAAACATTTTTTTTTTAATATAACATTTTAATTAATTTCTGTTTTACGTTTCTGCCATACGTTTTAATTACACTATCCGACGTTTTCTTTTTTTATGTTTTATATTGGTGGCAAAAACACTGGAAGGATGATCGTTTGTTGAAGATAAAAAAAAATAGAAAAAATATTTTATATTTTATTCTTAACACTTGTTTGGGTTTTTAAAATTCTTACATGGTGTAAAATGACTGACTTTGTTTGTAATAATAAGCTGTACTGTTACTGTATATTTCTACTGTTTAAAAGTGCTCAACTCAGATGTACTGATGTTTGCCTTCGAGTAGCATCCAATTTGTGCCACTATTATGATCATGTAGCTGCAACTATTACCGTGTTGTTTCATAGAACTATGCAAAGATAGCTTTCAGTTGAGAAATCAACCTGTGTGTAATGGAAAGGTGTTGTAAGAGTTTAGCGTAGGTAACATAGTCTGACCACTGTAAAGTGCCTTACATTACAAACCTGTCACTTAAAGCAATAGTTCACCCAAAACGATGTTGTCAATTACTCATCCTCATGATGTTCCAAACCTGTATAACTTTATTTCTACCGTAGAACAGAAAAAGAGATATTTAGCAGAGAGTTCATGCTGCTCTTTTCCATACAATGAAAGTGAGTGGGGACTGGGAATTATGGAAGACTATCTGCCATGAAATAAAATAATAATAATTATGACTTTTTTCAGTTTCTGTAACAGAATAAAAACTAAAAAAGGTAATCGCAAAATTTGATCTCACGATTCAGTAATTGCGAGTATATATCTCACAATTCAGACTTTTCTTCTCAGAATTGTGAGTTTGTCTTGCAATATCAGTTTTTTGTTCCTGAATAAAAAAAAATTAATTGTAATTGCGACTTTTTATCTCACGATTCAGTAGCAACATATCTTGCAATTCAGTTTTGTTTCCGCCACAAAATGAAAAATAAAAAGGTAATTGGGACATTTATCAAAAAATCCAGATCTTTTATATCTCGCAATTCTGAGAAGAAAAATTCAGAATTGTGACATATAAATTTAGAATTACGAGAAAAGTCACAATGCACTTTTTATTTTTCATTCCATGCCGAAACAGGCTTCTATTGGGACTGTCAATTTCCAAAAAGGACAAAAAAATAAACCCTAAATTTGTAAAAAAAAAAAAAAAATACAAAAAATTAAAAAAGGTACAGTACAGTACATGGGTTTGGAGTTTAGTCCTAAAGTAAGGAGACAATGTTCCTAATTTTCATTTTTGTGTGAACTATCCCTTTAAATGAAGTGAAGTGTTATCATCTATATTTGTGATTTTAGACTTAGTCTTAGACTGTGGAACCCAATGGGTTCGGTCCTCGGGTGAAGTAGGGGGGAATGATCTCTCAGTAGGACCACCAAAACCTAGTTAATACCGACCTGCAGGGTTTGATCAAGATTGTCTTGTATTCTGGCTTAAAGCTGAAGGGTCTTCATGCACTACAAAACTTTCAAGAATAGTGTATTACATAAACTCCTTCACCTACTAGACAAACTACTGAAAGTCGTCCTCTGAATATAATGTTACACAGTGTTGACTACTAAAATGTTGCCAAATTCCAAGTGGAGTCTAAATATGCAGTGAAACTGTTACGTATACCGTTGTGGATTTATAGCAAAACTGGCTGTTGCAATTTTTTCTGAGCAATAATTCAGACAATCAGGTAACAGGTAAAGCACAAGGCTCCTGTATGAATGCATATGTATCAGTGGCGTCAATGAAAGGTGCCTTCAAAACAGGCTTCCGTGGAACTTCAACCAAACGCCTTTTAATAACAAATACAGATTGGTCTGTCTTTTATGAGTGTCTTGGCTATATAGCTAAAGATGTTTTTTTAGTTAACATACTTTTGTATGATATTTTTGAAGCTTAACCAAACATTATTTAAGAAGGAACTTAGAATAGCTTGTAATGTTGATTTTTGGTTGAATGTCTTTATAAAGCATTCCTTTGATATGAATTCAGTACTGGAAGCCGGCCCACGTTAAACCTGTTGGGAAAGTCACCTTTCAGTCAAACCGTGAGACTTCTGCAGGGAAGCTTTATGAGGAAAGTAGCATTTCATTGTTGGGTTTTAAAGCTTGACAGGTGTATTGGGAATGAAAATGTTACAGACATTGAAATAAAACTGAGTGTTTTTCACAATTTCTGGAGGTTTTCATTCATGATTTGGTGTGGTTCATTTTGTAGCACAGATGTTTTCTTGGTTCAAGAGTATAATCAATCAGACTCAACATTTCCTGTGGTGTGTTATTCTGGTTTCATGGTGGCTTCGCACTGTTCATCACACCATTTCTTGAATGCTTGGCAACACAATGCTCTCTTCTGTGTCATTGAAGATTGCTGCGGGGTATGAAAAAGACAAACTGAAGGAAATGAAACAGTATGTCACAGTCTTATGGTGTTTGCTAAAATGTGCCTGAGTACTTAAAGTTGGACTGCACTCTTAAAAATAAAGGTTCTTTATTGGTGTTGATGCTTCCATGAAGAACCTTAAACATTCACAGAATCTTTCCGTTACACAAAAGGTTCTTTATAGTCAAAAAGGTTTCTTTAGACCAGTGGTTCCCAACCCTGGTCCTGGAGGCACCCCAACACTGCACATTTTGCATGTCTCCTTTCTCTGACACACCAATTTCAGGTCTTGGAGCAGGGCTGTCCAAACTCGGTCCTGGAGGGCCGGTGTCCTGCAGAGTTTAGCTCCAACTTGCCTCAACACACCTGACTGGAAGTGTCTATGCCTAGTAAGAGCTTGATTAGCTGGTTCAGGTGTGTTTATTTAGGGTTGGAGCTAAACTCTGCAGGACACCGGCCCTCCAGGACATAGTTTGGACACCCCTGTCTTGGA